TCTTAAACTCAAAGCTATAATTTACACCGTATAAAATCTTTACATCCATTTTTTTTTTTGTTTAAATTGTCAAAGTTGACCAAAATAGTGTCAAATAACAATAATAGAGCATATTTAATTTCAGATCAATATAAGGATAATTTTAGTATATAGTATCGTGTATGTCAAGAAAGGACTAATAGTGGATTAAGAGGAAAAAAATTGTAAGAGTCTCACACTTTCTTATCCTCATGCACGTCACGCATATCAATACATGCCGATGACACATATGTACAAAGCCACACACAAAACTTATTCCGATCAGATATTTAATTTGTTATATAACGTAGTTTCTTAATTAATTATATTTCCAACATCTTTTTATATATAAATCAAAAGAGAGATCCAAAGGAGGTAACAAGAAATTGCTTGTGTTAATTTGTCTTATTACATATTTCCTATCTCCCACAGTTCTCATGTCTCATAAGGCCATGACTGCTTCCTCTGGTTCTTCTCATAACAAAGGGGACGGAAACTCTCGTTCTTCAGAAACCAAAGGTAATGTATTGTTTTTTTTCTTTTGATTCTCTTATCAGTTTCGGAGAAATTAATTAAATGTTGAGTTTTTCATTAGTAATTCGAATGAAAATGTTTTTAATATCGAACGCATATTTTGTGTTATGTTATATGTAGGAGGAAAATCAGATAAGGAAGGATACACTGAATTGGAGAAACATGTGGCCTTCTTCGACAGGAACGGAGACGGCATCGTTTATCCATGGGAAACCTACCAAGGTAACATACGCAATTAAGTTATTAATTATGAACGACATTTTGATGTGTTGCTTAATCTGATCTATGTTTATATAAAACCAAAATTTGATTGGTTAATAATGTTATGTAAATAAAATAAAAGGGTTTAGAGCGATCGGGACAGGTCGTCTCATGTCGGCTGTTGCTGGTCTCTTAATCAACATGGGACTTAGCCAGAAAACTCGACCGGTACCAAACTATTTATTACCATTTCTTTTTATTTTCTTTACTCTGATATTTTCAATGTGATATTCATCCAAAATCGAGTAGGCGGGGATTTTTAAATAAACTCATATTTAGAGTTGAAAACCCGTTCAGAGGCCTAAACGCCCATCCTTAGCCCGCCCGGGGTGAATCAACTGGATATATATTATATAATGCGTTAGATCTTATCTTGAACTTGATTAATGGTTTCTAGGTTTGATTATGCTGTTAAACAATCTTGTATGTTAAAACTATTCGGATGATATATCTTAGTATTATTTCTGAAGCCATTGTGAAAGTTAAATAGGGGAAGAGTTTTTCGCCATTGTTTCCAATAGAAGTGAAGAATAGTCGCTTAGGCATCCATGGTAGTGACACCGATGTCTACGACAAGGACGGGAGGTTTTTTTTTTTGACTTCCTTCGTTTCAAATTAAGTGTCGTTCTGATTATCTTTTTTCACTTTACAAAATGTAATCATTTCCTTGTAAATATTGCAGATTTGTGGAATCGAAATTCGAGGAGATATTCAAGAAGCATGCTCACACACATCAAAATGCTCTCACTGACAAGGAAATTCAACAGTTGCTTAAGACTAATAGAGAACCTAAAGATCTCGAAGGATGGTTCGTTATTTTTACTTTACTGACTTTTTTTTTTGTTTTTAAGTTTGTTTCGAGACTTTAATTACAGAGAATTTGAAAGAAAGAAAAAATTGAAGAAAACATATTTACCATCTTTTGCAAATATATGAATTTAGTTAACGATGATAATATAAACACAGGATTTCAGCATACGCAGAATGGAAAATATTACATGCGTTATGCAAAGACAAAAATGGTTTGTTGAGTAAAGAGAAAGTAAGGGGCGTTTACGATGGTAGCCTTTTCAAGCAAATGGAGAAGGAAAGATTAGATCTTCTTCGTCACAAATGAATTTTACGCGACTCTTTGTGTATTTATTTCAAAGGTATAATTTTGGTATGTGGGTTAAGGGCGGGGGAA